ATTCATATTCCCCAAATGAATGAGAACATACACTGTTTGTCCTTCTCCGGTTACTGTGGCCAAGTTCAAAAAGGGTGTTGCCTGAGTTCTTCTCTGGGATTTTGATGGAATCTTGTCTCACATTTAGATCTTTCATCTATTTTGAGTTTATCTTTGTGTATGGTGCAAGAGAGTGGTCCAGTTTCATTCTTCTGCAGGTGGATGTCCAATTTTCCCAGCACCATTTATTGAAGAGACTGTCTTTCTTCTAGTGGATCGTCTTTCCTCCTTTATCGTATATTAGTTGAGCATAAAGTTCAGGGTCCACTTCTGGGTTCTCTGTTCTGTTCCATTGATCTATATGTCTGTTTTTGTGCCAGTACCACACTGTCTTGATGAACACAGCTTTGTAGTACAACCTGAAATCTGGCATTGTGATGCCCCCAGATATGGTTTTCTTTTTTTAAAATTCCCCTGGCTGTTTGGGGTCTTTTCTGATTCCACACGAATCTTAAAATAATTTGTTCTAAGTCTCTGAAGAAAGTCCATGGTACTCTGCGCCTTTTGATGGGGTCATTAAGCCCATTCACGTTCAGAGTTACTATTGACAGATATGAGTTTAGTGTCATCATGATATCTATTTAGTCCTTGTTTTTGTGGATTGTTCCACTGACCTTCTTCTTAAAGGGGAGTTTTAAGAGTCCCCCTTAAAATTTCTTGCAGAGCTGGTTTGGAGGTCACATATTCTTTCAGTTCCTGCCTGTCTTGGAAGCTCTTTATCTCTCCTTCCATTTTGAATGAGAGCCTTGCTGGATAAAGTATTCTTGGTTGCATGTTCTTCTCATTTAGGACCCTGAATATATCCTGCCAGCCCTTTCTGGCCTGCCACGTCTCTGTGGAGAGGTCTGCTGTTACCCTAATATTCCTCCCCATGAAAGTCAGGGACTTCTTGTCTCTTGCTGCTTTAAGGATCTTCTCTTTATCTTTGGAATTTGCAAGCTTCACTATTAGATGTCGAGGTGTTGAACGGTTTTTATTGATTTTAGGGGGGGATCTCTCTATTTCCTGGATCTGAATGCCTGTTTCCCTTCCCAGATTGGGAAAGTTTTCAGCTAGGATTTGTTCAAATACATATTCTGGCCCTCTGTCCCTTTCGGCGCCCTCGGGGACCCCAATTAAACGTAGGTTTTTCTTCCTTAGAGTGTCATTTATTTGCCTTAATCTGTCTTCGTGGTTCTTTAATTGTTTATCTCTTTTTTCCTCAGTTTCCCTCTTTGCCATTAACTTGTCTTCTATGTCACTCACTCGTTCTTCCACCTCGTTAACCCTCGTCGTTAGGACTTCTAGTTTGGATTGCATCTCATTCAGTTGATTTTTAATTTCTGCCTGATTGGATCTAAATTCTGCAGTCATGAAGTCTCGTGAGGCCTTAATGCTTTTTTCTAGAGCCACCAGTAGCTGTATAATGGTGCTTCTGAATTGGCTTTCTGACATTGAAGTGTAATCCAGATTTTGTAACTCTGTGGGAGAGAGGGCTGTTTCTGATTCTTTCTTTTGAAGTGAGGTTTTCCTTCTAGTCATTTTGCTCAGTGCAGAGTGGCCAAAAACAAGTTGTATTGGAACACGGGGGAGTATCACTGGTCCGTCCAGCTGGTCTTCTGGGGGAGGGGCCTGTTGCGCTGATTCTCAGGTGTTAGCACTTGGGGGAGCTGCTCTGCCCCTGCCTGCTGCAGGGCTCAGCGGGGGTTGTTTACCCCGTGGGGCCCCAGGAGGAACAGCAGCAGTTGCTACGGCAACTCTGGAAGCCTGGATTCAGCCTCCGCAGGAACTACGGGGCTCGAGGCTCTCGGCTCTCCGTCCGCAGGGCCTGGAGGCTCCGGGGCGGGGCCGCTGATCTGCTCAGCTCGGGGCAGGAGCGTCCTCGCTGTCCTGGGCCCTCCCGGCCTCTGCCTGTCCCGGGGGAGGCCGGATCCTGGGCTGTGTCCCGGCGCCCTGAGCTCCGGGGCCTGCGCTGGTGGATTCGCGCTCCCGCCCCCTTGAGATCATTTAGACTTTGAGTAATCATGTTCATTAATGCCACTAAGCTTTCCATAGACTTTGAAAATTCAATTGAAAAGGACAAACATTATATGGTTTCATTCATTTGGGGAATATAAAAAATAGAGAAAGGGGATAAGGGGGAAAGGAGAAAAAATGAGTGGGAAATATCAGAAAGGGAGACAGAACATGAGAGACTCCTAACTCTGGGAAAAGAACAAGGGGTGGTGGAAAGGGAGGTGGGCGGGGGGTGGGGGTGACTGGGTGATGGGCACTGAGGGGGGCACTTGATGGGATGAGCACTGGGTGTTATGCTATATGTTGGCAAATTGAACTCCAATAAAAAAAATAGAAGAAAATGACTTTAATTCAGTTTAGACCTCCTCAGAGTGCTTTTTCTTCTTTCCCACTTACAGCAACAGGGATTTTCCTGTTTGGGGCTGGGGAATCAGTAATACTAGTTTTCTTTTCTTTCTTTCTTTCTTTTTTTTTTTTTTTTGGCCTTTTCAACCAGAGTTGACTACCTTTATAAGAAGGTAGTGACCATAGTGATATCTTATTTGTGTAATTTTGCTTTATGCAGAAATCAGTTATATAATTATAGCAGTTAAACCACCTCATTTTACACATGAGAGAAGAGAGGTTCAGGGACTCTGGACTCCAAATCCCATATGCAGTAGTATTTAAGGACAAGTAGAAGGCAAAGGGCCTTGAGTCTCATCCCAGGGCTGGTGCATCAACCTCACTGAGGATCATGTCCCCCCACAGGAGCTGAGCCCCAGAGATGCCAGTGCAGGAAGGTGCTGAGAAGTAGGCCCTCAGCTTCCTGAGCTTCTGTTCCCTGACTCTCCACTGCGAAGTAATAGCAGGCAGTGGGGCAGCAACATAGAAACAGGAGGTGACTTCCAATCTCAGCTTTCAAACATTTTGTGGCAAATCTCCAGAAAGTCCTTCATCCTTGACATCATTTGCATCATATTTTATTTGCACATCTTTCAGGGCAGATAATCAGAGTTTTAAATTGTCAGTGTATAAGAGTGCTGTTCAGTAGAAATAAACGTGGGTCAGCAATTGCAGCCAAAAATAAACATTGCAGCTTTGAAAAAAAAAAAAGCGGAACTGTTCTCCAATTAAAGCTGTTAACGTGAACTACGCTGTTTCCTTGTTGGATTTTGTTCTCTGCTGCTACTGTAAAAACAAAATGAGTGGTCCTGCTCAGGTTCCAATGATGTTCCCAAATGGTTCTGTGCCTCCTATTTATGTGCCTCCTGGATACACCCCACAGATTTTATTTATTTGACAGAGAGCATGCGAGCACAAACAGGGAGAATGGCAGAGAAAGGGAGAAGCAAACTCCCCACTGAGCAGGGAGCCCAATGCGGGGCTCAATCCCCAGGACCCTGGGACCACGACCTGAGCTGAAGGCAGATGTTTAACAGACTGAGCTACCCAGGCGCCCCTATAGTCATCATTATTGATATAATTTTACGTACTCACTAAGTAAAGTAAGACTGGATTCTAGCATTTTAATATCACTGTCAAGATAACCCCCCATTTCCTAGCATACACAATTTCTAATGTTAGAAAATACTTAAGAACCAGGTTCTCTTAAGATAAGCACTTAATAATTGTCTAAAACTTGACACATAAGGAAACATAATTGTCTTAGCAAATCTAAAGCTGGGAATTGAGCCAAATGTTAAGACAAATAGATGGCTATAATAAAAGTATAGGTTGTATTTGGCTCAGCAGGAACCAAATAGCACAAATACTAAGTGCATGAATATCTGTCATCTGTGGTCTTCTTTTAGACTTTTATGTACATCTCCCCTTGTAGCAGTGATCACCAATGAGGTGTCAAATTATATATTTGCCATATTATTGTGTTATAAAGTGCATCCTAATAAGATTCAGAAAATTTATGCATTCTAAAAAGTTAGGTCAGGCAAGCAAGGATGGCAGAAATAAAAATCCAGTGTTGGGATTGTTTAGCTCTATCACTGAGAAAATAATATGTACCTATGAGCATATTGGGGCAGAAAAGTTAAGGTTCCCAAAGATAGACAGGTCTTAATTTAAGATTCAGATCATGATTTAATGAAAGTACCTTTAGGACAAACATAAGAAATCATGATTACCCTAGGATATAACAACCTTCAAATTTGTAATGTTTATATCAGTGGCATGCCCCTATTAAGTTTAGAAGCACTGCAGATATTAACTCATCATTAACTCATACGTATATTTTAACTTCATTTTTAAGAGCAACATTAGACAAGGACAAGGTATCAGTAACTTTAGGAGTGGTTGGTTCTGTTTTTCTTGTTTTAGATTTGTAAAAGCCAAACCTTCCGTTAGTATTAAAGTTGCTAGTACTGTATTGTAAAAAACAAAACAAAACAAAAAAAAACATTGTATAGCTATAGCTGCTACCTTAAAAAAAATTTAAAAAAAAGAAGTAAAATTCACTTTAGGATCATTTTTAGTTAGTAATCCAAGATATCTGAAGTTATTTCAAGCATGCAATCAATATAGAGATTATTAATGTGATATTTAACTTTCAATTTGTAATGTTCAAAATAATGGTTTGTATGTTACATAAGCAGCCATCTCAGCTTGGACTTGCATAAAGCTACATTTCAAGTGCAGAGTATCCACCTGTGGCTAGTGGCTAGTGGCTACTACACTGAGCAGCACAGTTTCTGTTCCAAATACTTCAGAAACACTGCTCCTGACAATCTGTAGAAAAGTCCCTCCAGGCTGGACAGCTCCCTGGGTCTGAGCGACACTGAGCACCAGGGGCTCCTTAGCCTCCAGGGCTCTACCTGCTGAGGGGGTGCCCCCCAGAGTCTGGTTGCTGAGGGCTGACCCCAGAACAACTCCAGAAACCCAGAGGCTGTGGAAGGTGCCAGGCCTGAAGGGCCCGGAGTCAGTGACCTTTTTGCACGGGGGACCAGGGCAGAGTGAGTGGCTGTGTGCTTTCCAGGCAGCGCAGTAGTACACGCCCTCATCGCTCTTCTCCAGCTTCAGCACCAACAGGGTACAGCTGTAGCCATCCTTGGCCTCTATGGCGGTGACTTTGTCTGCTTCCAGGACCGAATCCCACTGCACATCTGTTTGGAACATGGCCAGGTAGAGGAGCCTCTGGAGCCCTTTTCCTTCCTGGTAGCGGTACCAGTGGATATAGCTGGCCTTGACATTGGCTGTGCACAGCAGGGAGGCTGAGCTTTTCTCACGTGCCACAACTACAGCAGGCTGCTCCAACCTGGTCTCCGCATGGCCACCTGTAAGGGGGACAGCTGTGAGGTGGTGGCAGGAGTCTGAAGGTGCCCATGCACCCTGCAGCAGGGAGGGAGTCCAGACTTACGGGGAAACAAGAGAGTGCACAGGATGGTAAGGGGACACAGAATGATTTTTCCTCCCACCTGGTGGAGAGAAGCCAAGGGGGACCTCATAGCTGCACCTGCTGGGAGGATACTGCCTGGGTGGGTGGCCGAGGGCAGGTTAGAGTCTGAGCCTCCACTTCACTGAGGCATCTGAAAGTACTGGTGAGGGAGAGGCTTGAGGGAGAGATGGGGAGGGGCTAGAGGGTAGGGTAGGCACAGGTCTGATCACAAGGGGTGGGATGGTCAGGGCCCTGAAAAACACTGAGGAATGTTGATGCAAAGAGATCACCAGTGATAACAGGATTCTTTGATTGGACATAGACTACACCTGAGCACCATACTAATTATTTTCTGCTCATTGTTTGATTAAATCCTGAAAATTACCCTGTGGGATAAATATTGCTGTCCACCATTCAGAAATGGGAATAGCTCACATTTTATAACTCTTCCAAGGCTGAATGCTTACAGAGAATTAGGTGGTGATGTTAGCCAGATCTGACTGGACACAAATCTCAAGCATCAAATGGCCATTTGGTACTAACAGAGTGATGGGTATGCATCCTGCTCAGGAAGCAGAGACAAGCACAGAGCAGAGATCCCTGCTGAAAAGACAGTAGTCCACGCCCCCACCACCCCAAGCGAGCATTGGAGCATTTCTCCTAAAGGGTTCATCAGAAGATTTAAATGCCCTAACAAAAAACATGATAGCTGTGCAGTCTTGGGCAAGCTGTTTCTCCTCCTTTCCCTCTTATGTCAAAAGGGACCTCATTAGGTTGCAGGCAGAGTAAGCAGGGAATGTGAGCAAAGCACGTAGGGTGTTCCAGATGCATAGAAAATGCTCAAGAAATGTTGGAGAATGGTGTTCACCTCAAAATTGGGCTGATTGCAGTAAGCTAATTTATAGGGTCCTCATAGTGTAGAATTTCAGAAAATATTACAGTCTTGGAAAATGGTGTGTGTGTGTGTGTGTGTGTGTGTGTGTGTGTGTGTGTGTGTGCAGCCAGAGGAAGAAGTATGCATCGAGCCTGAGGGCAGTGCAGACCAGGGGGCGGGATCAGGTCTTGCAGTTCCAGTGTCAGATCCTCAGGAATGGTAAAGGCAGGGCCTCAGGAGGGGTCAGCTAAAAAAACTTTCTGACATGAAAATTCAATTCAGTCAAGGTAGTATTTACCTTCAACTGAAATGAACATTAATTTTAATTGTACCCAGTATACTAGGGTCTCCTGGGTGTAGTTATGGTAATTAGTAATGCTAGTTATAGCTTGTGAGCCTGGGGAGAGAAGGCAGTGAGAATGGTCAGAAAGTGAGGAAGGTTGGGTCCTTCTCAACCACTATCAGACCCAGCTCCTGAGCTCCTCCTCTTGGTAAAAACTGAAAGGAAGACATACTGAGCCATAACCAACATTCAAGGCTCAAGTGTCCCAAAATGCAGGCTTTGGGTTGTACTGAGTTGGTGGGGTGTTGACTAGAATATTCTGCTAAAAGAATATTTTAGAGCCATCATTCAGGCCCTCAGCAGGTGTCTAGGGTAGTGGTGCCAAAGTGGTAAGTGGAAAAGAAAGTGCCAGTGGGGATGACATCTGCACAGAAAATGACAGTTGGAAAGAGTCTGAATACAGAAGGTGAGCTATGTGGGTGGTGAGAAATTGGGTAACAACTTTCTGGTTTTCTAGATTTCAATAAGAAAATCTTACATATGAAAGGATAATCCACAATGATCTATATTTTTATGAAAATAAATTTAACTTATGTTGTCAGCCTTTTTTGTTTTTAGGCAATTATTGTTTTTTTTTAATATTTTCTTTTTTTTCTTTTTTTTTAATTTTTATTTATTTATGATAGTCACAGAGAGAGAGAGAGAAAGGCAGAGACATAGGCAGAGGGAGAAGCAGGCTCCATGCACCGGGAGCCTGATGTGGGATTCGATCCCGGGTCTCCAGGATCGCGCCCTGGGCCAAAGGCAGGCGCCAAACCGCTGCACCACCCAGGGATCCCGGCAATTATTGTTTTTATGCAAACAGCTGTTGGCCATGACTAGCCTTCAGTGTGTAGTGAAGTCTACCTAAACTCCCAAATACTCTCCTGGGTGTCTCAAATGACAAAACTAAAACCATTTAATCTGTAGATTTGATGTCCTTTACTAAAATAAGAACAATCCATGGATTGGGGAGCTCAGGGCCTCACAAGCAGTGGAGCACTCTTCTTCGAAGATTCAGGGCAACAGGGAATATCACAGAGCCTTAGAAGCAGCCCAGGGGAACAGGCAGGATGGCCTGGGAGGTCAGGGATTTCCTCAAAAGGCTGGCAGGTCAGTCAGGAATGAGGAGAGAGAATCTGGATTAGGCTGATTGGTTGGGGTTGCATATCTGGTCTTATGTAGAACAGGGGAATCATTACAGATCCTTGGTGTCTGGGGCCTGGCTGGCTGGGATAGACAGTTTCTGGTCAAGGGCAGCATTTACAGGGACAGGAGAGTATCTAAGTTTTAGTTTGCTTACTCACCACCCCAGAGTGTAGAGGGTCCATCCTGGATCTGGAAATGCATTTCAACAGGTGACAATTGTTTTCCTTTCCTCTGCTTCTCTTCCTGCTGTGGTGCAGCTGTGCTTTTCTCCAAGTGACACTGAAAGGTTATATTTTTCTAAAAGAGACACACATTTAAAAAGTAATAGGAGAAAACTCTTGAGCATCACAGAAAAAGTAGCCGAGGCTTCCCCCCAACTACTCTCATGTGGAGAGTGGAAGGTTCTGAGCAAGACCCCCTGGTCCCCAGGAGGAGAGAAATCAGGTGGCTCTTGAGGGAGCAGTACTTCCTGTCCTCCCAAGTCATCCTGCTGCTGCCATGAATACAACTGCTCCGATGGCCCCAAACCTCAGCCCAAAGGGAGAAGCAGGTGGGTCAGAGCAGAAGCTTGGACCTTTTCATTTAACCTCTGAGAGGCTGGCCTGCTTTCCCTGACCTGGAACAGCTCCCTTCTGACCATGGGAGAGTATGAGATCTTATCCAGTTTTACTTCTTCACTAGATTACGGGGAATAAATTGGATGTCCACGTGATGTCGACTCTTAGTGAACTGGCCAGGCCCAGAAACCCCAAAATAGGAAAGCCACCGATATATTTTGATGAAAGGACTGCATACAATATTTTTTCTTTTACCTTCAGTTTATACCTTTATAACACTTTTTGCTGATAAAAAAACTGTTGAAAAATAATTTCTTTGTGTTAGACAAGTAACCCCATGTTTAAAAACAAGGCCTAAGTGTCATGTTGAAGAGTCACACTTTGCCATGGAATCACAGAAGCTTAGACACTTAAAGATGAAAAGTGTAGTGGCGCAGGGCAGCTGCCCCAGTGGGCTACTTCAGCGTAAAGATTATCCTGACTTAAAATAATCAAAATCCAGCAGATGCAGGAAAAGCTTGTGCCTCTCACTGAACTGCAGAAATTTACACTGGAAAGGAGAGCCTGTGGCAGCAAGAGGGCTATTAACAGAGACTCCACTTTGCCTAAGGAATCATCTGCATCATTGGGCAGCCTTGTTTTTCCAAATTGGGCTCTCCTCTCACCTTCCTGCACCTGGACCTTTTGTATCCTAGACCCCTGCCTCTCTCCTTAGCTTATAAAAGCTGCCTATTCCAAATTCTTGGGAATTTCCATGTCTGTATGGACTCCCCATATGTCTGCCTATTAAACTTGATTTTCTCCTGTTAATCTGTCTCATATCACCTTGACTCTAAGTCCAGCTAGAAGGACCACAGGATACAGGAAGATCTTTACCCAAGAAAAGGAAAGCCTTCCTATCAGAAGCCTCATTGTTCCTCATCTTTAAAGATGAGAAAACAGCTCCTACAATGCAAGTGACTCATTCAGTATGACAGGACCATGAGCAGCTGAGGCAGGATTAGAGCTCCATCCCCTCTCTACTGTGTGCACCTCTCACTGAGTGGACCTGGCATTTCAAGCTCAGTCACTACATGCAGAAAACCTACCACATGTCAGGCATGAGATCAGGCCCCTTTCAAACATTAATCTCAGTTTATAACCCTTGAAAATAATAAAATCTGTGAGATACACATGAGTATTCCCAGTCAACAGATAATGGCAGGCTTTGGACATTCCTCACCAAGGACGCCTTTAAAAAGGTGAGTTAATGTGATAATCTTTGAGCCTGCTTTATTAGAAGGAAATTAGAATCAGTGATGTTAGTCCAATTTGGCTCTTCTCAAGGTAAATGGATGTGTGTGTGTGTGTGTGTGTGTGTGCACATGTGCACACAGCAAATCAGTGTGATACAGTAATTCTGTTCCTCTCAAATCAAAAGTCTGCCTCACACAGGGTTGCGAGAGTTAATGGGAAAAAAGCACAAATACATAATATTTGGGACATAAGTTACAAAACTATATGTTGTTTATCTGAAATTCTTGGAATACAAACCAACTCACAATTAACAGGGCACCTCATGCCTGTTAGAATGGCTGTTATTACAAAGCACAAATACCAAGTGGCATCACAGAAGCTGGGAGTGAGGAAGAGCAGGGACGCTGGCTGACCGTCCTGTGCTCAGGGACCCCGTGAGCAGGGGACAGGAGGCTGCCCCAGGAGCAGCTGTGAGAGCAGACTATCCCAGGCAAGCTCTCTGTCTCCACCATGAGCCAGGGATTGGGCCAAATTAATTGCTTTGTAAATAAATATTGCCAGTCAGTCTTATGTACGAAGTGATTTGTATAACAATCTTTTCCTCATAATAACATGTCAAGGTAGTTATAACAATCACATTTGACAGATCAGCCTATTGGAATCCTAAGATATTTTAGGGTCATGTAAGTAATGGAGCCTTGATTCAAACCCAAATCTAACAAATACCAAAACCCACGACACCATCCATTCTCTGTATATAATCTCAACAGACACATATACATCTTTCTATATATAGAAAGAGGGAGGGAGGGAGAGAGACAGAGAGACACACAGAGAGAGATATTCTTCTACTACTTGTGAATTGATAGATGCTTACCTTTTTGAGACTAATTTTTTAAAGGTCATAAAAGAAATCATTGATCCCCTGAATAATAACAAATACCTCTTACTAAGTGTCACACACTGTACATGTTGATTCCCTCCCTGCAAGCAGCAAGCAGGTGTCATTCATCCCATTCTGCAGATGAGACCGAGGCTTAGGGAGGTGGAGTCACCCACCTGAGATTGCCCAGCTAGGAAAGACACACGGAGAACCTCCAGTCGGCCAGGCTCTGAGGCCTGTGCCCTACCTAACCTGCGTGGATGTTTGGGATTCAGGGATTAATTTTGTCCTCACTGAGCTGTTGCTTTGAATGCACATTGTGAGCTTGTTCCACTTCCCAATTGTTTTCAATAATAAGCTTCAGGCTTGAAAACTACAGTAGTTGGCTTGTTCCTTCTGCTGACTTCTGCCCCCCCCCCCTGCTGGCCGCTGAGGGTCTTATAGGGACAGTCCTCTGGGGTGGAGCCCAGGGAAGTGATGCCTTGTTACTGCAAAGGATCCACTGGAGGAGGGAAGTCCCCAGACCTACCAGGCTGGAAGCCTGCTTTTCCAGGTGTGGACTCAGTATGCTTGGCAGTTTTAGGTAAGGGGCTCCTCCTTGCAAGGCCCCATTTCCCAGCCTCAAATGAGAACACTGATATGTTTGGTGTCCTCTGTACCTGTGAAAACCATAGAGATTTGCTGGTGAATAGTGTACATTTACGTGTATATACATGGCATAGCATTCCTGTCAGCCCATGTGTCTGTCCCCACAATTCACTGCTCCCCTGTGCTGCTCCTTGAACCACTGCCTGCAGCCACTGCACTAATTCATCCCCCGACAGTGACGGGCACTTGTACTGCTGCCCAGACTGGCTGTCACAGCAAGGCTGTCCCCACCGCTCGAGGCTCTGCTGCTGGGAGTCAGCATTTCCCCGGGAATCTGATCCCCCAGTTCCTGGTACCAGGGAGTATACATGCATGTTCTCTATAAACACTGCCCATGCTCTTATCTGACATCCAAGACTTTAGAAACTTGATGGTGACCACACAGCGTCACGTTGTTAAGGAGGTGATGGGCATCTCTCTGATGAGGAGAAAGCTGAGGGTCTCTCTTCATTCCTGATGTCCATGAAGTGTTTCCCTCAGAGACTAGCTTATCTGTGCCCTTTAGATGCAGCAAGAGGAGGCTGGGTTGCAGAGGCTCAGCATCCAGCGACCAGGCCATCTCTGCTGTCTCTGCCTTCCCCCCGCCCCACTGTCTTGGCTGTGAGCCCTGGAGTCAGTGTTCACACCACTGTTTCTCAGCTCCTCATCTGCAGAAAGGAAAATCCGCAAAAGTGAGACTGGTACTACGTGACACTTAGTGTCAGCTGATAAGCTTAATGATCCTCAGAATGTAAAAAATCCTCCCCTCCAGGTAGCTCACTAAGGCTGCTGAGTGTGCATGTGTGCTGTGATTTGCTAAAATACTGTTCCTGCAACTGTGTTTATACTCACAGAGCTTGACACCCCATGTCCCCTGACCCTCGTTCTGTCAGTCAGGCTCCTGCTGGCATCACCCTGGTCAGGGGTCATGGTGCTAGGAATCCTAGTCGGGGGTTGGAAGGACTAGGCCCAGGTCCTGTGGGATGATCTCTGGGCTCCCCAACCACTAGAGGGAGCCCCGGCTCTACATTTCAGGGCTCCCTTCTGTGGGGACACTGCCTTTGCAGGCTGGACCTTGTGGGGAACAAAACTCGGTTTCCCCACACAGTGGCCTGCTAGACCCTGGGAGGAGGGAGAGCACCAGCAGCCAGTGGGGGTCGGGAGCCACGGAGAAGCCCATGTTGGCCCAGTGTCGGTTCAGGGGCTGGAGACAGAGTGATGTGGGCAGAGCTTTTCCGGGCATTGGGAGCTTCTGGCTCAGACAGGGATCTTTGGGAGCAGGTTCCTCGCAATGTAAAAGGTCTAATGCGAATGATATTGGATGATGTGTCTGTCAGCTGACGACAGCAGTGACCAGTGCCCTTTACTCCCAGAGAGATCCTGTCACAGGTACAACCTCTCACATTTTCTAGAAGGAAGAGCCTGGAAGTCGTGATCTGACACACTTGGCGGGGTTAAGGGGACATCGGGGCTCAAAAGCTCAGCCCTCCCTTCCTTTCCTCCCTCCCTCTGCTCTCAGAACACTGAGCAGACATGGAGCACAGCAGGCATGGAGACAGGAAAGTAACTGAGACCTGGTCTTGCTGTGGGACCTGTAGTGAGACCCAGAGTGTAAAATAAATGTCTCCGAGGGCCACAGACCGTGACGTGCCCTCTGCATCTCAGAAGACAGGCAGACCAGGGGAAGGGGCTGGATGTTCTCTGATTACCTGTCATGCCCTCACCTGACCATCCTCCAGGACCCCCTGTGTAGGATGGAGCTCCGTCTACCTGGTTGCTGGTGATGGAGACCAGAGCCTCCTTGGGGACCTGCCCTTTCTTGGGGGCTTCCATCCCATCACTCACTGGACCATGTCCACCCTCTGGATTTCTGCCTCCTGTGTCCCATCACTGCCCCACCCCCTGCTTCTCCACCATCCACTCAGCATCTCCTGCTTTGGTTTCTGCACCAGCCTCCTGCCTCCCACTTCGGTCACCCTGTCTCAGCCCCACCAGAGCCCCATGTGAAATAGGACACTAGCCTTGTTCCATTGGTTCCTGAAGCCACTCTTGGATGTAAAAGTCTCATTAATTCTGTTTTAGAGGTGAACAATGGGAGGCACTGAGAGGGAAATCATTTGTGCAAGGTCACTGGAGGAGTAAAAAGACGAAGTAGAATTTGAACCCGGCTCAGGGCTGTAATCCATGCATACAGCTAATCCATGTGCTGCCATTAGGTATTAATGGAAACGCAGTGTTGATCACATCTTCCCCAGTGCCAACTCCTTCACTTTTGGAATGGATTAAGGAAGTCATGGGTCCTCAGCCTTCCAGAAAGCACCATTTTCACCATCCTAACCCAGTTGTCCAATAACCCAGTACTATGTCCTTGTGTTCAATAGCTTTGCTGAAGGTATTGTGTACCAAAACCCTCAGGCCATTGCTCAGCTTGCTTTTCTATCCTTTCCACTGTTCCTCTGCAACCCTACTGTCCACTCACAGGAGAGAAGGCTTCTCCCACCCCACCCCACCCCCGGGGCTGCTGGGAGGGTGTTCTCTGCATTTCCGTAGGAACCTCTCCCACAGCCCTGTCATCTGTGCTGTCTCCCTGACCTCAGCGCTGACCCGGCTGTTCTTACCACGCAGATGGGGACCTGAGTTAGAGACTGCATTATTGTATTCCCAGCATTGAGCTCAGTGGGTAATTGAACACACACACACACACACACACACACACACGACGGTACAGCAGATTCCAGGCAGAAAGACTCATGTGAGTGATCAGAGACACAGCAATGGGACCCAGCAAATCAGGGGAACTCCAAGTAACATGATATTCTGGACTCTTGGTATTGCTTCTAAATGTAGGTTAAACAGGAAAGCGTAGAGTTAGATGAAATACAGATGTGAATTTGCAGGAAATTCATTTCTCAGCCAGCAAAATCTCAGAAGTATTAAACTCTGTATACCTCAATATGTGGCTTATTTCAAGGGGATTTTTTTGTACATCATAGGATTTGTTCTTCGGAAGAAAGGAAGTTCACAGTTTCGTGCATGTTTTTGCATAGCATTTATTTTCTAAGACTAATAAAAGTATCAGGAGAAATGTGTTCACTTAACTAGAATTTCAGAGCAGCAGGATAATAATGGGAGGAAAACCTCTGGAGACATCATTGTGAATCAGGTTTACAATTCCAAATCCACTGGCTCTGACTTTTATCCCCACCTAGTGGTGCTGGGAGCATTTCCGTTTCACTGGATTATGGAGCTGAAGTAGGACAAACCTTGTCAGGGTCCTCTGCTGGGAAGCTGCTTTGTTCAAGACAAAATGCAGGTAGTGGTGGGCAGAGAAGGAGTGTTCAAGAACTTGCCTTAATGTTGTATCAGAAAGATTCTTCTTTTTTTAATAAATTAATTTTTTATTGGTGTTCAATTTACCAACATACAGAATAACACCCAGTGCTCATCCCGTCAAGTGTCCCCCAAGTGTCCCCCTCAGTGCCCGTCACCCATTCACCCCCACACCCGCCCTCCTCCCCTTCCACCACCCCTAGTTCGTTTTCCAGAGTTAGGAGTCTTTATGTTCTGTCTCCCTTTCTGATATTTCCCACACATCTCTTCTCCCTTCCCTTATATTCCCTTTCACTATTATTTATATTCCCCAAATGAATGAGACCATATAATGTTTGTCCTTCTCCGATTGACTTACTTCACTCAGCATAATGCCCTCCAGTTCCATCCACGTCGAAGCAAATGGTGGGTATTTGTCGTTTCTAATGGCTGAGGAATATTCCATTGTATACATAAACTACATCTTCTTTATCCATTCATCTTTCGGTGGACACCGAGGCTCCTTCCACAGTTTCGCTATTGCGGACATTGCTGCTAGAAACATCGGGGTGCAGGTGTCCCGGCGTTTCATTGCATCTGAATCTTTGGGGTATCTCTCCTACGTTTTCCTCTAGGAGATTTTATAGTGTTAGGTCTTCCATTAATTTATGGTCCACAATGAATTAATTTTCACGTATGTAGGAGGTAAGGAGACAAGTTTATTCTTCTGCCTTCAGAACCCATCTGTAGCTGAGCTGAGTTGCTGAAAAGACTATCTCATCTTGCACTGAATTAACCCAACACATTCATGAAAACCTGGTTGACCTTAAACATAAGAGATTATTTCTGGATTCTGAGTACTCTTCCATTGTCCTGTGTGCTCTCTTTGCACCAGTAGCACATTGGCTTAATTACATAACTTAATTTTTCTATGAGCTTTGAAATCAGGTACTGTAAAGCCTTGCTTAAAAGGCCTGTCCTGCTGTCCCCAGGACCTCATTTGCCAGCGAGAAAGCTTTCCACACCATCTGTGTGGGGGGCATCATCAGTTTCATCATCCAAGTCAAATTTTGGATGTGCCTCTCCCCGCACTGCCTCTGCAGGGTGACCATGTCCATCCCCCAACTTTGTTCTCCTTCAAAATTATTATGTCTATTCTAGGTCTTTTGGGTTTTCATGTTTTTTTAGAGCAAGTTTGCTAATTTGTGCCCACAAAACCTACTACTTTGAATCTTTAATCAGTTTGGTAAGAATTGTCACCTTGGCAATATTGAAGCTTTTAATCCAAGAACATGGATCCTCTCTGCATTTATTTAGATGTTCTTTAATATTCTGCATTGTGTTGTAATTTTCAACATGCAAGATTTGCTCTTCTTGTGTTAAATTAATTCCTAAATATTTTCTTCTTTTTGGTTCTATTGTAAATGGAATTGTTTCCTAAATTTCATTTTTAAGTAGTTCATGCTAGTATATAGAAATCCAACTGATATTTTGTACATCAAATGTGTACTTTGTGATGATGCTGACTTGGTTTATGAGTCCTTCTTTTGGTTTTGTGTGCACGTAGATTCTCTGGTATTATCTATGTACAGGATCATGTCATGTGGGTGAAGATATTTTTATTTTTCCTTTCAATCTGATAGAGATCTTTACAATTTTTTTCTAGTTGCACTGTCTAGAACTTTTAAAACCATGTTTAATAGAAGTGTCAAGAGCAGACATCCTTGTCTTGTCCATGTTCTTTGGGCAAAAGCATTCAATCTTTCAATATTAAGTATGATGTCAGCTATGGTTTTTCACAGATGCCCTTTATTAGGTTGAGGATGTCTGTTTGTATTGATATTGTTTCTTCTGCCAACTGAAATAGTCTCTTGAAGCCCTCTAGTGAACAGTTCGATTCAGGATAAAACTTTTCTACTCTAGATTTTTTTAAAAAAATATATGTTCTGTTTTGTAATTTTGGTATCCTTCATTAGAATATCTATTCTATTTGTTGACATTTTCCCCATATTTTCCATTAATATTTTAAACATTGTTTTTATATTTATTGGACACAATTGTTATTCAAAGTTTTTGTTTGCTAAAGAGAGTATCTACATGACTCAAGAACAGTTTATATTGAGTTGTAAGGGATTTTTCCCCTAAAAATAGTCTCACTTTTGTGATTCTTTGCCTGTCTTTTTTTAAAATAAAATACATTTTGTTGAAAATATCTTGTAGAAACTCTAGATTGTGACTTTTCCTCAAAACATTGTTTTCACTTACTTTTGTATGCTGAGAAAATTGCTTGGACTTAATCTGTGATATTATATCCCCTGTAGTATGTGGCTGCTCACCTCTCTGATATTTTCTTTCTCAGTTATTTTATTTTTCAGCCTAGCTTCCTGGGTTCACCCTGTGTCTACATAGCTTCATGGTCACCAAGATTACGTAGGGATGTGTTCCAGCAACTTGATTAAGACTTCACTTCTGCCAAATGGTTTTGCTGTAGGTATTGGGTAGCACATGCATGCTTTAGGGAATTAGCACACAGACTGCGTGGGCTAAAGTATAAGTCTTCCCAGATTATACTTTTTCTGAGTCTTTTCATGGTTCCTCTGATTATACTAATCACTTCAAGGTCAACCAGCAGTACTTGGCTGGCTTAGACACTTGAGTCTCTGCTAAGCATGCACACAGCTTCAGCTAAACACATGCTTGCTGCAGCCCTGACCACAATCTCAGACCAACAGTGCCCCTGGCCTTCCTGCTTACACACCATGCAGATTGTCAGTTCGCCATCTCATCACTCCCCACCCCAAATTAACTGACCTCCCTTTCACTGTGTGACTTTGCTGCCAGTCCTCATGCCCTGTCCCATCTCAGAAAATCTTTCATGCCCATGGAGCTGGGTGTTGGGAGGTGGGGGAAAGAATGGCAGTCACAGTAGGCAAGTGTGCTGCCATTGTTCCCTGAATTTTGCAGCTTTTCAAGGATAAACACTTTTCAGATTGTTACATGCATTTGGACATTTTCCAACCACTGAAATGGTTAGTTTTATTGATGTAGTCCAGTTTTATAGTTGGGATCTATGAGAAGATTTGCTGACTGTAGAGATCAGACTTGCTACCATTCACTTATAAATTGTGCAAAGTATACATATTATTATGTTTCAATTAAAAATTTAGCTTTAAAAAATTTTGGCTTTAAGGATGTGCACCTGGCTCATCTCAGGTGATTGAGAGTCTGCCTTTTGCTCAGGTCGTGATCCTGGGGTCCAGGGGTCAAGTCCCGCATCAGGCTCCCTGTGGGAAGCCTGCTTCTCCCTCTTCCTATGTCTCTGCCTCTCTTTGTCTCTCATGAATAAACAACTAAAATCTTTTTTAAAAGTTTGGCTTTATTTAGGACTCCCAAATAATTCCAAGACATGTGAGCTCTAGTTTAATAGGCTGGAAAGTGAAGCCTTCCTACAGAGGTACCTTTAACTATTTATGTTATCACAAACTTCACCTAACTGTGAGGTTAAGATGTGGGACAACTCTTTT